TGTTACAATATAATAAAGACGTCAAATGTGGTCAATTAAAAAAAAAAAAAAAAAGGCCTCGGATAATGAGGACGGGTGCAGTCACTGTTATATGTAATTTAATGTATACCTGTAAGTAACGATAAAACATTGATTACGAAAAAACGATTCTGAACGGATTTCAGTTGATAGTAATGCTTCGTCAACAATATATGTCATTTTATAGTAAAATAGTTAAATATATTTTATAAATTTTCTGTAATGATATTTGTTTAATGTACCGATTTTCCCGTTTTTCATACGTTTTTCTCGGTTTTCCCATGTTTTATCCCGGTTTTCACATTTACCTGGTAAACTCCTGAAAAAATCGAAAAATTACCTCTTTAAATACCTCCTCACACCGATTTTCTTTTAGAGAAGGTGCTACACTTAGAAACCCGAGCAAGTCTTCTGTTAGAAAAGTTGTTAACAAATAAAAAAAAAAAAATCTTTGTGTAAAACCTTAAGCTTCATCGCTCTACTCAGAATCTAAAAATATTCAAAACAATAGGTAATTTATAATATCGTTTTTTTTTCATCCTGCACTATTATACACCGGTCTCACTCTATTGCAGGTCGTATCACACGTCCACTGCATTATAATCAGTACACACTATAATTTGTACGCTCGTATTTCGCATCTCGTCTTTGGATAAACAAGCGGTTGACAAATATTAAGCAGACAAACAAAATAAAGCGTATAATAATATGTTTTGCAGTACTATTATTACCTGTGTTTATATAGTATTACGCGAGTATAAAGGGCTATTCAAATTCAACGTTAAAAAAAATAGAGAGATATTGTAATCTCGTTTTTTTGCAACGGGAAATTTGAATACCCCCGTTCACCGTATACATATTTGTTTATATATATATATATATTTTATTGCTTTCCTGTTCAACTTATTATTTCAAAAGGGGGTTTTGCTTAACAGGGTCGCCTTAAAAGGTAGTATTTAGAAATATCTTGAGGAGGGATGTAAAAATTAATTTTTAGTAAATATTTTACAAAATACATGTAAAAATAATTAAATTTTTTTATAATTTACCATACAAAAGTCATCATACATAAAAATTATAAATAATAAACATAATACCCTTACTATGAAACATGCAACATTTGATGCAATTTCGATTTTCCCATAATTTAAAAAAAAATTTTTAATATTTTTTTACAATTATGTAATTCTTTTTTTATTAAGGGTTTTTTAATTTCGGATACTTACAAAATACTCGTAGAGGTTGAGTTAGAGGTTGGGTAGGAGAAAAGTAGTAGAGCATCACTTATGTGCCAACGCGGCATTTGAATAGTGCTCCATTAATTTTCCCCTATACACATACTTAAATGCGGAATATGTCATCAACGGATAAACGGAAATTCAAAACTTCAACACCAAAACGTATTTAAACTTAAACTTCATGTATTTATTGAATTTTTATTATAGGTTGCTATTTGAAAATCAAAAATAGATAGTAGTTTCACATCTAAAAATAAAGCCAAAAAATAATATAACTGTTTAAAATATGATTTTGTTTCCATAAAGTTTTTACAGAAGTTATTTTTTGAAAAAATAAACATTTTATGGAAAATTTAACTGTAATTTGAAATTTTGTCCTGTATAATAAGCATATATATATATATTTAACAGTCGGTTAATATCAACGAATTATTCAATTTCAGCACAAAATATAACTATTATAATTTGTTTTATTAATTTATAAATAAATATTACAGACATAATTAATAATACTATTGTATAGTGCACGATTTGATAATGAATGTTTCATAGTAAGGTTATTATATTTATTGAAAAAATCGTTTTTATGTGGATAAAATTGTTTTGGCTCCTTCAGGAAGCTTAAAATCTGATAAAAAATACATTATAAGTTGTTCTCAGGGCACTATTTAAATTTCTTAATACATTTAGTCACGATTTTATTCCATTTTGTAAGGCGTTTGAAGTTCAAATTTTGTTGCGAATCACGACACGTCAAAACGCACGTTTACCCGAACTTCGTCCTGAATGGTACCGATGATTTATCGCCGCGAACAGATGTAAATAAAATGACTCAATACAACGTATCGCACCATCCCGTATTCCCACCGCCTACAAACAGTGACACAGCCGTCAGCACTTCAGAAGTATCGGCTCTTTTTATTATTATTATTCAGCTACCCTGCGCGCGTCGGCAAAATTGCTTCAAACACAAATAATAATAATAAATACGTGTTGTTTTTACAACCAACGACGGTCGTGATTTAATCGCGGAAGCAGACGTTTTCGCAGCGCACACACGACTCACCAGTCCTGCAAAAGGGCCCGCGAGCTACGCGGCACCCGAGCAATCGGAGATAGGACAGAAGCGGAAAATATGTCACGCGGTTTGTGCAGCAAACACGATTTGCCTCGAGGGCTGCACATACGACGACACACGTACGTGACTGCAAATATTGTAATACGCGTCGTCGAATTGTACGATATTGAATGCACGTCGGTTTTCCGGTGTCTAGCAGATATCAAAACGTCGATAATTCTGTACGAATATAAAAGTGGGAAACGCTTATAAACAATAATAATAATAATAATTACGCGCGATTTCAGCGGTGTGATGAAAAAAAAAATTCAGCGAAATAAAATTCCAAGTGTTGTTAAACCCAGAAATCAACAAAAATCATACAAAAAATGTTCATTTTTTCTCCATCTATTAAGAAAACTACAAGGAAAATCAAGAAACGGTCTTCTCAATACGCCAACTATATCGAAGGTTCAACAACGAAATTCTTTTAAAGTTTTTGATCGGAGCGAGATTTCCGGTGGAAAAGTTGTGCGTTCACACAACAAATAAAAATATATTCCTCGTAAGAAAAATAAATGATAATAAAAAAAAACTGTCTTAGGATAAATGGGGACGGGTGCAGCCACTGTTACAGGTGAGGGGTTAGGAAGGTAGTAGAAGGGAAATTTTACGTATATCTCTACCCAATGATGAACCGTTGCTAGCGAATAAACGATTCTGAGCGTAGTTCGGTTGATAGTGTTGCTTTGTCAACAATATATATATATATATATATATGTCATATCATGGTAAGATATTACATATGCATTATGTATTTTCTTTAATAATATTTGTTCATAATTTTACATATTTTTACGGTTTCCACATGTTTTTTCCATGTTTTTCACGTTTACGAGGGAAAACTCCTGGGTAATTTAAAAATGACCCCCTTAAGTATCTCCCCGGACCGGTTTCCTTTCAGAAAAAGTGCTATCATTGTAAACCGGATCAAAATTTCTGGGAGAAAAGTCGTTGACAGATAAAAAATAATAATATTAATAATAAACACCGTTGTAAAACCAATACGTTCCCCGCTTCACTCAGAATCACAAATAACAACGCATATCATATTACACGACGATAAAACATGCAACATTACTCGGCGCGTTCGGAATCTAAAATTTGAATACGACTTGGAGCGATGTTTCAATAGTCCAACCGATTCGCTCGGGTGCAGGGCAACGAGCTGCAGTTTGTAATAAAACAAAACCCTCCTCGAAAGGGAAAAAAAAAACAAAAAAAAATAAATAACAATCGAGGGAATAATGCAGTGGCGGCGGTTTGACCGTTTCACACGGGACGCGATATTCGATTCGTGTGCAAGCAATACGACATTAGGTATTAACGCGCGTTGATTTTCCGGCAGACTGGAGTCGCGCCGGCCAGGCGCGCGTATGAAATGAAATTACAACGCTCGGAAGAACTCTCGAGCCGCAATCGCGGCGTTCGTACCTGCGTATTTATAACAATATAATTCGCACGCACGTCGCCGTATCGGTTCGCATTATGTTCGGTGTTTCGAGTGCGTTCGCACGATGCGAATACGTACGGGCGAGGCGGTCGTGTTACGGCCGCGCCCGCGAGTCAGAGTTACCCGTCGCGCGCGGTTCGGCGGCTCGGACGGTATTCTCCGTTGGAAACCGTCAGCCGTCGCCGGATTACACGCGGCCGATAAAAAAAAAAAAAAAAACAAACAAGAAAAAAAGTAAAGTTTCCGCCCATGGGTGGTGTGTTTATAAATCCGCACAACATACTTATTTATTATATTATTATTGCTGGATACGCGAAGCCCGGTCCGTCGCCGGGGATTCATTGTGCGTTTTTCGATTGTTTTTGTTCACCGGCCGCGGGGACGCGCGTTACGCACGGTTCGCGAGGTTTTCACAACGAGACATTCCGTCGTCGCGGCCCCGCAAACGTTCTCTCCACTCTCGCCGGATGCCCGTTTTCGGGCCAATAACTCGCCCCGCCGAATGTGCCGCGTGTCCGCGCCATCATAGCGTCTCAAACCGATACGTTCGAATGAATGTTTTTTTTTTTAGATTCTGAGCGGAGCTCATCGTTGGTTTTATAATGATGTCCACTTTGTTTTTTTTTTATCAGAAATTTTGCTCCGATTCTTAACTATAGCAATTTTTCTAAAAGGAAATTCTGACTGGATGATAATTTATCGAGGTCAATTTCTTATGAGTCTTCACAATGAATGGGAAAACTGAACTCGGTTCTGAACGGTTCTGAGCGGAGTTCAGAACCGTTTTTCGTTAGCAACGGTTATTCGTTGCGTACCTTCAATTTCCCCTCTACCTTTCCAACTTCTCACTTACAACAGTGGCTCACCCATCGTGTGAACTAAGTATCTTTTTTTTTTTACAGTTATTCTGTATATGATAGTATAATCGCAAAGAAAAATAAATTTTACGCCTGTCTGAATATATAATACTTAAAAATTGTACATTATACCACGTGTATACTTAACTACATATATTAGGGCGGTCTTTATAGGGGATATACGGTGTTGGATAGCCGCCGTTTCGTAATGTTGTAAATAAATTTCAAAAAAATAAACAAAAATCGAATATTTTTATTGTGGCGAAAACGGAAACAAAATTGTTAACAATAACGACGACCGCCCTTTTTATCAATAAATGGCATGGTCGATGAGTCAAATAATTTCGTCAGACTCATTCGTGACTACGTAAGTTCGCGACGCCACCGAGTGTTGTTCCATACGAGATAGCCGTCAGGGGGCGCCACCAAAGCGAACCGTTTCTTCGGCCGAGTAGAACATCTATATAATAACAATATTATGTGTCCTTAATCTCTAGCCGTCGCAGGTGCGGCTCCTATATAATATTATACGTTCGTCGTTTATTACGCGTAACGGGCTTATTAGCACCTGACGCTCATGATTTGACCGTATCATTGCTGCGCGCAATTCGGTTGCGATTACCGGACACCCGCGTGCGTATCCCGCAGGTGAAAATTAATATTAGATACCCGACTGTAAAACCACGACGGCGATGCGGTAGCCGAGTAATCGTAGAGCAAGTCTGCGGCCGTGGTGTGGCGAGATCTTTCGTGTTAAAATCGTGACAAACGACCGATTATCATCGTTATTATTATTATTGCTACAAGGGACAAATCGTTTCACTTTCGCCCCCAACCGAAATTTGGCGACCGCGGCTTTTGTTTTCCGGGCCGCGGGTGGCGGAGAGAAAGTGCGTTTTTATTGCAGACAAATTATTTACACAATGAACGTCCTTTTGTCACACAAACACACGATGCACGTTCGCTTTCTACAAGCGTAGGTATAAACCGACGATAAACACGAATAAAATGTGATATCCTTCTATGTATACCACACCACATGGCACATATTTATACATATATATGTACACACAAGTAGCAGTTAGTAAAACAGTATAACAATATAGGCTGCAATAAATCTTTGCAATATCATTGTTGTTGTTTGATTTAGAAATGTGTCCGGCCTTAAGTTGTCCACCTTTCTAAAAATGTATTTTACCATAGCTCCATAGGCGCAAATAGTCTAAATATTTTGGGGCGAGAGCCTAACATCCCGTAATATTGATTAATATAGGTACCTATATTTATTATTTGCTCGATAAGAACTTGATTTGGAGGGGCTAATCCCACCTGATCCCTCCCCTATACGGGTCAATGTATGTCTCCATAAAGGATAGCTTATTATCCTTAACAGCACGTTGGAACATTAGAAGTGACGTTTTTTTGATATAGGTACCAAAATGCATATCAAAAATTGATCTACCAAACGCATTAGTCCCCTAATACCCTATCAATGCATCAATTTAGAAAAAATTTAATACCGTAAATATTGATATGATGTTAATAATCGAAGCATTATTTGTATTAAAAAAATATTGTGAAAATAATAAAATTCGTGAACGCTTAATGGGTAGCTAGCTAACTAATAATAATATTTCAATTTTTCAATTTATGAAATACTATAAATTATTATATTTCTTTAATATATATATATATATCTTTGAAGTGACGTAGGTAAAATGAACGTTACTTTGAAAACGCTATTGAAGTCTTACTAATATAATAATTATACAGACGAGTGCATCGGTTTAGAAGTTAAATATTATCGTCATCGTTCTCACACACCGGTTTAATTTTTTGTTCTCAAAAATTCGACGCCGTGAAATTTGCAGCGGTCGCGACGTCGTGTGGTTTCGATAATAAACGGATCGTTACCAACGCGGTGGCGGAAGAATACGGTTGTTGTTTTTTTTAATGACAAAAAAAACGACCAGCTGCGGACTATACTGTGAAAAAAAAAAATATCTCGCGTTTAATTCACCAATAAAACACTGATCACCCGAAGTGGTATTGCCCGAAGCAGTATATATTATATTATACTGACGCTGTTGCTGCTGTTATACTGCAATCTATTGTTTATTTCTTTCTTTCACAATCAGTTTCGTTTGGAGTTTTGTGCCGGAAAAAAAACGTTCTCGTGTCGTGATTTTTCCACAATTTCGGCATAAAAAAAAGACCCCGCGGAGACACCACCCTCCGGTAATGCGGTGTAAAACTACGCGGGGCCAAACGGCGCGAAATAAAATAAAGAGATTTGCGCACGTCTGATTGATCCGAATCGCGCGCGCATATTATTTTATCGGTCCGAGAACGGGATGCGTGATATTATTATATACGGCGGCGAGGGGTTTTTTTTCTCGCTCGCTCTCTCTCTCTCTCTCTCTCTCTCTCTCCCTCTCCCCCTCGCTCTAGACTCGATTTCCGTAATACTTAAACAATAATATACTCGGCCCCGGGGCAGTGGACGTAACACGCGAAAAGTATAATATACGCGCGTATATAACAGCGTGATCGTCGACCCCCTACAAATTGCGCGTCGGGCCCGCAACACGCTGTATACATCCACGTGCATTTAGTAGGTATATACGAAAACAACTGCACAATAATAACAATACCATACAAACACAATAATTACTTTCACTTTGTCGCACGCGGTTCTTCTACCCGCATTTTCACGGTTTGGTCACAGCAGCCATAGCAGCCGTACGAGCGTGTGCTCCGCACTTGATAGAACAATTTTTGCTGTATTCGTAACGTTTCGCGGGATTTTAATAATCCGAAAATACGGACGCGCCACATGTCGACCGCCGGATCCGCTTCCGTCGCGGGCTATAATAATAATAATAATAATAATAATAACAGTAATAATATTATAGCCGATGGCCATTAAAGTGTGTCGGGCGCGCGCAACGAAGATTAACCGAATCAACGACGTCGACACCGCGCACAAAGACCCGCGGTAAAACGGCGGTCGCCACGCTCATCTACGGCAGCCGCGGCCGAAACACATTCGGTACGTACCGCGTCCGTAATAAAATTACATAAATTCAATGCTGATGATGATGATAACAATAATAATAATAGCGCATCCCTTTACCGTACACACCCCGAAAACGACGACGACGACGTCAACTTGGGTGGCCGGCAAAAAGTCATCATGATGCCCCGCATATAACAATGTATTATGTATACAGTTTCGTATTATAATGTTTGACGCGTGACGTATATATCCGTGCGTAATCACGTGTTCTTGTATCGCAATAATGATATTTTATACTTTCAATCGAAAATTTAAATAAACAAACAAAAAAAAAGGCCATAATATTTTTACTAATACCTACATTTCGTACGTTTTCCCGTTTTTCCTCAGTTTTTTCGCGGTTTTTCCCATTTATTGGCAAAACTCCTAAAAAAAATCCAAAAAAACGGCCTCCTTAAAGTACCTCCCCGGTCCGATTAACTTTCAGAAAAGGTGCTATTAAAATAAAATAAATCGAATAAATAAAATCGGTGCAAAATTGCTGGTAGAAAAGTTGTTCATCAAAAAAAAAAATACAAACACCAGTGTAAAACCATGAAGTTTTTTCGTTCCACTCAGAATCTAAAACAATTACATTTTTGTACAATGTACAAACGATTTACTATTACATGAAAATAATTCTCTTCCGTTCGATACATTATAATATTACGAAACGTAATAATACTCGTATCATATTCTATTTAAAACGAATTATCGCAGGTTATATTCGCTTTGCGTTAACAATAAACGACGACGGAGAACGATTTCATATCGGCAAAATATTTTTGATTATAATATAATACACAATGGCCAAATACCATTTCAAACTATACGATGTAGTTGTCGAAAAAAAAACATTTTAAATTGCTTGAAATAACTTCACCAATTAATTACGACAATATTAATTACGTTTTTTACGCGATAAATGCGGCCATAAAAATGATAATATGTTTATAGATTTAATCTTTTTTTTTTTTTTACTGCTCACGGTAATAATATTATTACACGATACGGACAAAATTAAGCATCAACAAAACTTTTTAAAAACTCTTGATAAACATATAACATTTAAAAAAACCGATAAAACTTTTCACCGTGGGTACTAGGTAGAGTACTGTTTGTAGATGGAAAACTTCGAAGGTACAGAATACAGAGCAATTTAGTGTACCTACATACTGAAAACAACGATAAATCATTGCAAGTCATTATTAGTCGTGACTTTTTCCCTTGTGCCAATGTAACCCGATAATTAACAAAAATTAAACTTATAGATCTTCATTTAGTCTTCAGTTTTTTTTTTTTTTTTTATTGAAAACTGTCAAAAACATAGAAAATCTTATCAAACGAAGTATTACCGGGCGTAAAACACTAGATGGAAATATATTATGGTACAGTATGAACAACTCGGAGCATTTTTATTAACGGACAAATATTTTCTGAAAAAAAAAACTTGATAAAAATGATAAAATGGTGTGTGGATTGTTGAGAATTTCAAAATATGTTTCGAATAAGGGACTGTCGATCGAAAAATTCGCATTCTTTTAAGATGTTGCGTGAGAAAGTCTGAGCATTTTACTCATCAAACAAATGTTTTGGTAATGCGACTTTCGAAAAAACGAAACACGTCTTAGTCAAATCATTAGCTACACAAAATCGAATGTGAATCTCTACCCGTTTTAACGTCTCTTTTCGTCGAATTGTTTTTCGTTGCACCGCCGACTGTGGAATATATTGTGTATTATAATATAGTACACATAAGTATGTATATAAAAAAATCATACATAATGAATAATGAATAATGATAATATTCGGGCTGACCGAAAAGATAATTTATATTATAACACACATAGACAATAGGAATATTAAACGCGAATAAATATCGTCGTCGGCAAAGGGTGTTGCAGCAGAGTAATAATAACGGATATATACGCAATGCGCAGTCCGGAACGTGCCTGAAACGACAAAAGCCCGTGTTATTATAATATTGTAGAGTTTCTGCAGACTTTGTGTATAATAACGTTATAATATTATAGAAATATTCTGTGTGTAATGGTCGCCTAAAGGACCACTATAGTAGACTTCGCAGCAGTTTTCGCACCCAATTATATATTCGCCAGACCGAGTCCGATTTACATTCAGGCCACAACACCGCACCCTCTCGTAATATGCATATACACACACACACATATATATATATATATATATATATAAACAGCTCTCTTGTCTACTACACAATAATAATAATAATAATAATAACAAATAAAAAGCGTTCAATTGGAACGGGCCTGTCTGACGGACACGAAAAGGCTCGCCGTTGTCGCCGTCGTCGTTTTCGCTAACGACCGTGTCGAGACTGCCTTCCTAGCTACCTATATATATATATATATATATGTATACACTGTACCAACTGCTAACGCCGTTAAAGGACACAAAACAATAATCGTGTCCAGTACTCCAGTGAAGATGCTACTCAAAATAATGATTGGTCTGCCTTCCGCGTATACCTATATATAATATTATATATTGTACACGGGGCCGATGGCAGCGAAGAGGTCCCTCAACAGGCGTAGTGGAAAGACGAGCCTTTATATATATATATATATATATATGTTATGTGAGGAAATCGGGTGGTGGGGGAGGTGGAAAGGGGAGAAAAAAAAGCGTTTGTAAGCGAAAAAAAAAAAAGAAAAAGAAACAAATCCGTTTTTTTCTTCTTTCTTTTAAATTTTATTATATTCTTCGACGGCTGCACATCACAAGAGACGCTATACCTATTACGCTACACGCGCACACAGCCGGTTAACAAGTGGAATTTTAGATTATTATTATTTATTATTTATTTTTCACCGTCTCGCAAACACCTTTTTTTTTTTTTTCAAACATAGGATCTAACGAGAAAACCCAGTGATTATAGATAATATTATTATATTATATACCTTGTGTGTGAAAAAAGGGGGCTGACAAACGCGGCACGTTTTCCGCCACGACAACGACGACGACGACCGAATCATCACACGAAACGTCGAGAAATTAACTCCAGACCGTATACACATAGCTGGGTATAGGTATCATCGCATTCATGCGTTCACCGCGCGGACATGTGTCACATACAAGACTGTCACATACTCGGGTGAACACATCACATAAAACACGCCGAAACGTGTGACGTGCACACACACAAAACCTGTGTACACGTGACGTACAATAATAATTCGCCGACGTGTACGTATTTTGGCGCAGAATGGTTTTTTTTCTTCTTTAAATTAACGTCGTTATATTATATATAGGTACGTTTTGCCCCTTTTGGTGTTTCTGTTTTCGGTTTTTTTTTTTGTTTTGTTACCTATGACGAATACGTACAATACGATTTATTCGCGACTAGTCTAGCGAAAACCCTCACGGTACGCAGTCGACATTTATGTTTTTTTTCATTTTTTTTTTTTTTTTGTTCTGAACATGTGTTCTACGGGTTGACTTTGTGACCGGAGTGCCTATACGGTATTTTATTGTACAATATTAAGTAAGTATACTTTATTACTGTGGTTGTAAATCGAATAAAAGGCAAATCCGTATGGATTGGATTATAATTTTTGGAGACGGACTTGAACCAAAATCTTATCGAGATAAATATTGACCTAGTCATATTGCCGCAGTAAAAAAAAAACATGTATCCTATAATAATAGTTATGTATTTCGATAATATTATAGTGAACCGTAGGATAATAAATGTCATCTACGATGGACAGCAATTCAAGAGTGTATAGGTTCTACAACAATATTATACTTTTTAATAATTTGTTCAAAATCAATTGTCGGTAAAATAATATCACAATATCAAAAAATACTGGAATTGAACCTAGATAGACCTAAAGAGGGTGTTAATCTAAGGTTAATATAGAGTTAATCTAAGGGTAAGGTGGATTACCACCCATAAACTCATCCGAGCCGGCCAAATTGATGTGGAAAAAAATCCAATGAATTGGTTTAGTAAGAATCGTGTTTTGCAGTCAGCCGGCCGAACAACAGAATTTAACTGCCCTCATATACAAAATCACTGCCACGCCCTTGATACCGATACAGCAGCAGCAGTTTATTATTATAAATATTGTCGAGCGTGACCAAATGTGTACGCAAAAAGAGTAATAATATTTGTTCAAAATACTAAAATGAAACCATGAAATCCGAAAACCGTTTTTTCGGGAATTCGGCATGAATACCCGTCATATGCAGAATCGAAATGCGTATGTGGCACATGCTTTACCGAAACGAAAGCATAATACAAAAAGTATTATTATAGTAGTCTATTTTTAAACATTTAGTACAAAATTCCTCCACAATTGTATGGAATATAACCTTTTTTTTATAACCACTACATTCAATCTTTTTTTCCCCGATTCATATTATATTATCAGTGACGGATCTGCAGCTCGATTAAAGAAGAGGCGAAAAGGTATTATCTGATACCTATAAAACTATAACTGAAAACAAATGTTGAGAAGTAGAAATAAGAGTACACAATTTGTTTAATTTACCGTATGCACTCGTATAATTTTCGTTCAAATAAGGTGCACTACAGGATCCTTTACCCCCCAGTAATTGCCTTAGACATGTATATAATTCTACTAATAATTTTTTAAAATAATGTTCAAGAAAGGGGAATGCCATTTTGCTCCCATCACGTCCACTACCGATTATTATAAATTATAAATGTACGAGTTAATGATGGACGATAAAAATCAATTTTTCGATTAATCGATATTTTTCATTCGATTTTATCGAAATATCGATAGAAATTAATAGAGATTGAAGTTAAAAAAAAACCAGCGGATATACGTCGCACGATAAGTGGGCCACTATTATAGGTGGGAAGTCGGGGGGGGGGGAAAGAGAGAAAATTAAATCTAAATCTAGTTGTACGTAACGATTGACCATTGATAAAACGATTCTGAATGGCGCGGAATTCGGTTATACATGTTTTGAAAGGCCGTAATATTTACGATTTGAAAATAATACATTTCGTAAAATTTCCCGCTTTTCCTACGTTTTTTTTCCCTGTTGTTTTCTATTTATTCTGTAAACCTCCGGGAAAATCAAGCCGAGCCGATGGAACTACAATAATGCGTACAAAAGAAAATCGATATTTCACGGTCGATTGTTTTGGAGAATCGATTTTTTTTTTTCGGGGTTCTATTGGAAATCGAACCAATTTTGACGATCGCCCGTCACGTTGCGCGCGGCGGACCATGGTGGCCGCGGCCCACTGCGAGTATAGTAGCCAAAGTCGTATTGTGGGTCGGTAGTCCACCTGTCATCGGACACCACTCCGGCACCTTGGCTGAAACGACCGGGTGCGGTGTAAAAATATACACGGTTTTCACCACGATGACAGGTACCTACCTATAATAATATAATGTGTGTGCGCGTGCGCGTACCTGCATAATACCTATGCACGTGCATTATATTAAGTAAGACGTCGTCGTTTCTCGCTGGTATATAGGCGGCAGGGGAATACCATTATAATGTACCGTTCAATATTCGTGTGTGTGTGTGTGTGTGTTTCAGGAGAAGGAGGCGGAGTAGCGAAAAGGACGACGTTCTCGGAATACGTACGCCTATACGCCTTTAATAAAATAATATTATTATAATGTTACGCGTTATTATTATCACAATGCGTGTCGGTAGGACCGGACCGGACCGCGGAGAGTAGTCCGAAGTCGTCGGGTCGGAAAGCGAGTTTTCGGTGACGCGCGAACAATGGCCACCGTTTAAAGTCAATTGGTTCCGCGCGGTGGCGACCAGGGGCGCGGTATATTATAACTGCAGCGCCGCCGCCGGTCTTTTTTCTTTTTTTTTTTTTTCGAAAATTTTTCACCCCGGCCGGTGGTCTCGCGTAGGGGTTTGCCGCCGATTTTCATGCGTATATTATATACTTACCGCGTGTGTTCGGCGTACAAAGTCGTTCGGCGGCATTCCGGTTATATATTATAGGTATACACTTATAATAAAATAATATAATATACGGTATACAATGGAATAAGAAGTCGGTTTTTTTTTTTTTTTTTTT